GAAACAAATAGGGTCTTTAACCTTGAAACATACACAAAAGTTATTTCTCATACAGATATAGTCATACATTCACTGTTTTAATTAAAAGAAAGTACCTTTTATATGATCTGTACCTAGATCATCTTTTTCATTTTGTTAACTCTGTTGATCACAGAGCCCCACAAACTCAAGTAGTAACCACTTAGTCTACTGTACAGCAAATGCAGTGTTTTATACATGCAAAACCGTTATTGCTGCTAAAAGTCTACCTCTTGAAAATTATTAGTTCATTTTATGGCTTTTTAAAAATTTTTGCAACAGAAATTTCCTTTCCTATACACTGTGCTGTTTTATATTCATTACCTTTTTCAGAGTTTTAAATTTTAAATTCTTTTCAGAAATGGATCTTCCCAGGCACAAAACTTTAAGTACACTATAGGGATCTAAACCTGGGTCCTCCAGAGATTTACTACTAAAATCTACTTATAGATTGCTTGTTCATGAGGATGCACCACATTAGAACAGTTTTGCATTTCCTAGCTTTCTAATGTAGAATCTGTGCTAATAAATCGTGGACTCTTAGTACTGAGATTTGAAAAACACTTCAGAAAACTAGCAATTCCCAGTTCTCAAGACGACGATTAGAGGTAGGAATTTCTATCTTTTGCTTTCAAAACAAAAATGACTGTTTTATTTCTACAAGGGAAAACAGAAAAAAGGGAAAGTTATCTGTGGCTTACTGTAACCAAGGGCAAGAGTCCACTTATTATTATATGGCAATGTAGGTAAGCTCCATTTAACTATGTTTCCAATGTTCACGAACAGGTCTGGAATCCCATCAGTACACAATTTAGCAGATTCAGAAATAGAAGAGGCTGAAACAATCTAGGACACTCCCAAACCATTGATATTATTCTTGCATTAACACACATGCTGCTGACAGGATTAGTAAATAGTCTGCAGATTATATAAGCACTCAATGAAGCAATTACAGCATCTTAGTAGGACATGCAGAATGTAAAACTATTTGTAGATGCAAAAGGAGTAAGAATGAACCCAAGACATAATATGAAAACAGTATAAGAACAAATTCACCTCAAATTAACAGCAACAAAGAATCATGAAAAATGGGGCCTCATTTTGACTTGAGGTTTTGTGAGATACAAGGCTAGCTGTTTCTAGCCAGCTCATGGAAAGCATTTATATCCTCAAATACGATGTTTCTAATGGTGAACCCACATTTCAATTCATAAACAATTGTTTTTGTCCTTAATCTCCTTTCCCCAGGGAGAATATCACAGATTCAGGTATTTATGGGAAGAAAAAAAAAAGTCTTAGAGTTTCAACTCTTTTTACACTATTGGTTATTATCAATAACTCATCCTGAAGTTTAAAATTATTACTAGGATCATGCACTAACCCCTAACATGGCACTATAATATGCTACCAAGCACTAATGCTTACAAAACTATACACATCTCAAAATGGAAGACATTGGTGATTTTGTTGTTCTTAAACAACTTGTAACATTTGTCCACAAGTATTAAAATATACATATATATATATTTCTATTGCACATATCCCGTTTTTGTTTGACTTTTCAAAGGATAAACTGCCAGCTAACATGGATGAGCAAAGCAAAGGAAGCACAAATGCAGATTGAAGCACTTCTAAAATTAAGTTTTTGCCATCAAGAAAGGGACCAAGATAGACCAGAGAAAAATGCAAATGTATTAAGTAAATACTGGGCAACTACAACTGGAATATGCCCATGTTGTTAAACGTCATCTAATGTCAATCATGTAAGATGTGGAAACATTTCTTTTGAAAGATATCATTAACACTGGTTCTCAGCTATAAGTTGAAAAAATGCTGAAGGAGGCAGGTCTGATACCTGATCAAACAAATGAATCAGAGTTGTTCCACTGGTGCTTATTCCCTTGCCCCATGACCCTACCCAAAAAGTTGCCAAGAAGACATGGGGGAGATGGATATGACATCTAGAAGGTACAAATTCTCCATGAAGACATTCCCAACATAACAGTGGGATATATGTATGTAGGCTTTCAGTCTTTAACAAGTCCAAAATAATAAAGGAAAATATCAAGAAATGGCATAAGGGGTTATTTAAAGAAAAATCTAAGTTACCTTTAACCAAAGTTATTTCTCTTATCTCTCAGTAAATGCTCTACATTAAAAGAAATTTTTAAAAAACTATATATATTTTATCTACACTATGTATTTTGTGAAAAAGCTTTTTTATTCTAAATCAAATTAGTTAACCAATCTAATCATAACAATGCTCAACATTTCCCATTTTTGGCAATTTCTATCTCTCTCAATTTTTGGTAAATCTGCCCTGTTTCCAACATCATCGCACCCATGGCCCTCAGCAACCATTCCAGAAAACAAAGATGATCTAATTATACTACCTGTTCTTAATTTCATCTAGTAAGTTTCAAATTCTTTCTCTACTAAGAATCATTAATAAAGTGTCCATGCTTCTTATGAAAGGCTTGACATCATACAATGCTCCTGTTTGTTTGAAAGCAAGAACAGTTTTCCACTCTAGTCTTCATCATATAACTGTTAAAGGGGAAAAAAGGAAGTTCCATATTTCTTGTTTTTTTTTTCTTTTCCCCAAACCCTGAATTTCTTCTCAATCTATAATGAACAAAACACAAAATCCACATTTCTTAGTGGAACTATTTTTCTTATTTG